AATCAAATACTGCTCTCCGGAATTAGCTGGGAACAAAGGGACGTATCTTGTCACCACTTGAGTCACGATACAAATTTAGCCCAGGAGACAATTCCATTTCTCGTAATTTTAATGAGCTACTTTCAGTGAACAACAGATGGTTCAGTCCGGGATCATTATGTTAAGATTCAGTAATCTGTGCAAAATTTTACATCCAGCTTATTAATGGCTGTAATTTGCGATAATATATATATGCCAAAATATTTTCTAGAAGTGGGCAATATAATTTATATGCCTAGTCTGCCAGGGTCATGTAGAATTTGTTTTTTTTTTTCTAAACATAAAAATATTAGAGGTTGATAATCTGTATATATTGCAAGAACTTGTCTCTCAAGTTTATGTTGAAAATGCTTTACAGCGCAGTAGATAGCGAGTAATTATTTATCGTATGTGCGGTATTTAATTTCAGGTGGAATTAGTTTTTGGGAGAAAAACGCCGATGGATGAAGGCCATTATCGCGTCGCGAGAGCAAAACGGCTCCAATAGCAATATCTGAGGCATCGACCATCAATGGCAACTGATGATCAGGGCTGCTGAATTTGTTAGATCAGTGTTCCATTAAAGGCAGCAGTTGTTTCCGCTGTCCAAGGAACGGGATATTTACTCTTCTTAAAATCTTTTCAAAGGGAATGAAGCAGATTTTGGATAGTTGCGGTCTTAGGTAAAAATCGTCGATAAAAATTCAACATTGATAGAAACCTCATTAATTCAGACATTATTACAAGTTTAGGAAAGTTAGAAATTATCGCAGTTTTTCCAGGAAGGCACCGAACACCTGAAGGGGTAATTAAACAGCCAATAAATGATACCGATGATTTTCTCAGAATACATTTAGAAGGATTCAATTTTAACCCGTATTTTTGCAATCTATCAGAAATCAGACGAAGGTGACTTTCCTGCTCGTCTTCTTTTGGACTCTTGCAAGCAACAAAGATCTTAACAAAGGTTCACCTGTGGTATCATCTGCTAAAGGGCGTGTATGAGTCAACAACTGAGATGGGCGCTGGTCATCAAGCTCAAGACCCTTGACTACAGATTATGAATTTTCGAAGCTTTGCTTTCAGAATACATTGCAATCAATCTTCGTTTTAGGGTATCATATTTTCTAGTAACGGGAGGTATTAAAATGGTTTCTCTAACAGAATTAAATATATTAGAAACCACAGCAACAACATGGTTAAATTTTAATAAATATGAAGTAATACTGGAAAGGGAAAACTGCAATTCCAATCTAACAAACCATAATACAGGGTTTGTTTTACCAAAAATGTGGTCATTTTACTGAAACATGCGATTCATGCATAGCTGTTACATACTCAGCTATAAATTCATCCATAGAATTTTCATTACACGACATGAGTAGAATTCAGAGAAGATATATAATTCTAATTAGAAACAGAAGAAAATATTAAAGCATGGTATAAAAGGACAGCACTCCACTCACGCAACCAATAACCATTAGGGATACACTCAAGATTGAAAAATGCATAAATATTAACAAAATTTAAAATAATCACCTTGTAAAAATATACTGTTTCGTGCATACGGCTTCGTAGAACAATGAAAAACCAACTCCAATGAATGCCAAGAAAACCCGATAAGAAATAAAAAATACACTCTAGAGATATTCTAAAAATCTTTCAAAAACACAATAAAATTATGAGTTAAAAATTCTTATTAAAAAAAACCCCACTTATTCTTAAATTACATAAAACAATCCTACTTGCATTAAAAAAAAAAGATAATTTTAAAACTGTAAACCAATTTCGGCACCGACACATACTGATGAAAACCTTCAGCAAAATATTCGTGAGAATCATTCGTACTAACATAACATCAATGTGAAATCTCAAAATCCATTCAGCTTGCTCAAACTTCCTGCAATACCATGTAATACTACAGCATACTTAATTCGTATAAGTTCTGAACCAAAAGATTTTATAACTAGAGAAGAGTATTCCGTACAAAATAATAGGCTAAACCACAACCAATTTTCAAAGTAAGTATAGCCGCAGCATATGTTGCACCAGTGTAGTTCCTGCTTTAGCTCACCAAATATGGCGATGTTTTATTGCCATTAGACTTCATCAGAAAGACATAAATATCACAAAATTTCAGCATTACAGTTAAAACCAGCTTTAGTTAACATTTAAAAAATTTGATGAGGTCACCACAGGACTTCCTTGCACGGCTATTAAATTATACACATTTTCTGCTGCACTTCATTTAAACTTATTTCCTTGAATTTTATTGGAGATATATCATTCAATCAATTCAGTTTTCACTTTATGGCAAGGCAAAATACATAAAAACTCAAAATATCTTCACTAAAAATTGTAAAATTCAGAAAAACAAATACAGTTTAGTACAATTAAGTACAGTTAATTATATTTTTCCAATTACAATTAGAGTTTTTATGCAAAAACAAACAATTCTGCTAGAGGGCTAGAAGGCAGACTTTTGGGGCACAGAACTGAGAATTTACTTTTGTCCCACTTAGCATAAAGACACTGAAGGTGCAAAAACTGACTTAATTCACTATTCTACTAAGTTTCAGAGTAAACAAATGGCAGTTTTGTTAGGCTTAGTAGCACTTAAAACAACTTTTAAATTGTTGATAATTTCTATAACTATAGCATGCACATTAACTAAAGGCATAAAATGCTTAACTGGAACATAAGAACAACATAATTCAATAACTTTTATAGCAAAAAATTCACAATTTACCAACATATAAGAATACAAAAACTTAGCTCATCAAGCTGGGTAATATAGTACGTATATACATACACTTTTGGTGCAGCCAATTGTAAACAAAACGGGAGGTGCCCAACTACACATTATAGCAGTCTCATATACAAAATTTCAACATTCTGAGGCTACTGGTTTCTTGAGTTATGAGAGGTACATATGTAAAGATGTCATGAAAAAAATCTCATTTGAATCCATTTTTCAAACCATTTTGAGATAAAAAGTCCTTTATTCTGTTTGTACGTACATATGTCATGCAAAAACACCATTGAAATGGATTTGAGAAGAATAAAAATGGAAACTGTCGATGAATTATGATAACCGAAATTTTTTTGCAATTGCAATACTTCCTTTACTTGGTACATGGAACTAAAAAGAAAAGCAGATCTCGCAAAGAAGCTAAATATTTAACCTTCCAGCACGTGAGCTTGGCAATTTTACATGAGCACGCGCACACCGTATTTTTTACGACATCCGTTATTTTACCGTTTTTGGCACGAAAACGACAGAAATGAGTGAATATTGATAATAAATTTGTTAAGAAATAAAATATTAATCTTATTATTGGAAAATACAAATGATATCACATTCAAATATAAGTAAATTATTTTTAAATTCTTATGTTAGTGAGAGAAATGCAATGATGTATTTTACTATAGAAAATTTTAAATTTATTATTTAATAATTATATTTTAAAATCGAAGCTAATTTTAATATTCACCATAGACAATAAAAAAGGAAAACACCTTGGTAGGAAAAAAAGTAAATTTAGCATTACTTACTTCCACAAGGAAATTTACTTCTTACTGGTTACAAAAATGCATTTAAAACTAACTTTAATGTTTTTATTTATTTCTAAAAAATAGAAATAAAAGGAAATAAGAAATGGAAATCGGTATTGTTTTCCTATCCAAAGGTTTCCTTGTGTTCCTTTTCTTCACCAGATAATTTTTGAAGAATCCGAGGAAAATCAGCTGGTTGCACATATTTTTTTGCCATGAAAACTGATATAAAATTTACAGAGCCAAATGTATTCAAATTTAAATTATACACAGCAATTAATAACACAAAATTACAAAATATTTGAGGAAAAAAATATTTTTCGAATTTCAAAACACGACCACGTGCGTGTCATAAATTTTATGAAAACGCTGCCACGTAGCACAAAAGACCAGTTAAAAAAGAAAAAAGTCAAATGACTTCCTGTTGGCCCATTCCATGATGTGGGGAAGGGTAGAAAGGAGGAATAGGAATGACTTGAAGATGTCTCAGCTTCGATATGTGAAAAATGTGCATTAAAAACTTAATTTGTCGTAAATTTTGCGCGTACGCACGTGCTGGAAGGTTAAACATTAACATACACAAGTCAATGCCAGAAACAGACAAAAAGAAGGTTGAGAAGCAAGCAGTAAGTCTCGCCGAAAAAGTTTAAGTTTTTATCCTTGTGCTATGGTGGGCATATACGCATACTGAGCAGCAAAGATGAAAGTTGCCACTCACTGCAAAGAGGATTTCCACCATAAATTCAAAGATAGAATTCATGGATTGCAATTCAAAACAGTCAAGTTTCAAAGATTGAAGTCATATATTGCATACTCCATGCTTCTATCTTGAATGTGGAATATTACTCATGAATAGCATAATTTCTGGAATGGTTTAAAATTTCGCCCATATCTGGATATTGACTTGTCATTTTCACATTAACACTCTCATCAGGCTTGGAAAACAGGTGCTGTTTCTTTTGTGTTGAATCCAGAGATTAGGTCGACCACTGCATTAATGCATCATCATCTTGTTCTGAAGATCCTGTTCACCATGGTGGCAAATTCCAATTGAGGTATGTTTGTAAATGACCTCTGGTGCAAAAAATCAAGCAAGTGTCATGCTGAAACAGATAATCATTACTATTTTTTTTATTAAAGTGTGATATTAACAGATATTTTCAACATGTTTAAGTAAATCTTCCAGATGTTGTACAGATATCCTGGTGTACCAGCAAAGGTGGACACGCACATCAATATTTATGAAGTACATTAAAAATATACTTAATGAATTTACAATTCTTGAGATGTGCAAATTATTGAAATACTACCATGTATGTATGAAAATGTATAACATGTCTGAGGATTTCTTTAAATCATTATATTGCTTCCCTCCCCCAAAAGTTCTATGAATACACATGCTTTAAAAGAAGGGGACGAAAAACAACTTTTTGTTGACTACCCATAATTTATTTTTATGACTTAGAGAAATTACAAAAGTAACTCCACAAGATAATAAATACATGGACAACATCAATTGCTATACCTCATAATTTACTTAAAACAATTTCAAACAGGAGAAAATGTTCAATTTAGCTATATACAATGCACGAGTGCTGGATCTGTCATAAAAATCACTTGGTTTCTAGCTTCTTATATCCAACTCCGTGAGACCTGCGCCTTCGCTCGTGACGACCTTCCACGATTAAAGCAATGATCTATATAAAAATAATATTTATGTTAGCCAAATTGAAATTGATATTATTTCAAAACATATATATCGGAAAAAATGAATACATAAATACTGTTTTCAGAATGTAAGTGTTCAATTTTGATTTACAAAAACAGGAAACGATTTTTATTTTGACTTGGTTGTGTTCTTTCTGATGATGACCAACAACTAAAGATATACCAGGAAAGACAGAGCTTTCCATTTCATAAAATATGTAAATGAAAATTTTATTGCGTAAAACAATGTATGCCTTCAACACAGGCTTAATGATCAGGAATGAATAATCAGAAAGATATGGATTTTATTTTATCATTCAGCATTAGAACTCTTAATTTTAAGAATTTGTAAAGCCTAGTATTTTATATCCAAAGATATTCTGAGTCTGCCTATAAGGTATTTCTCCCGCCTTCTTGGTGTAATGGCTAGCACACCCGGCACGTATTCAAGAGGTCTGTGGTTCAAGTCCCGGTGAGGGCACTGCTAATTTTTCATCTCTTCAGCTTTAAAATAACCTAATGACTGTACAGTGGCGCCTGAACTAAAAAGTGGTGAATGATGATTCTTCACCACCAGGATTTGCCGACTGGGTCCCCTAGACCCCAGTCGCCCTTTATGAGGGGGAGTATGTAAGGTATTTCTCCTGTCTTCTCAGCATGCCTTCATGGCCAGGACACTCCGAGAGGTTTGCGGTTCAAGTCCCGGCGAGGGCATTGCTCATTTTTTCATCTCCTCTGCTTTAAAATAACCTAATGACTCTACATGTCAAGAACAGTAAATGAGGAGAATGTCTGCTCCTCCAATTCAAAAGAGATATATTTAAAAATAACTACAGTGAACTTCGTAAAACCGAAACCTTGCCGTCAAATACGGTAATCATTAAATAACTTACTCTAATTTAAACTAAGCATTAAAAAAATATGAAAACTTTCTATGCTTTCAGAGAAAATTTACTGAGCGAGGCAAAACTTAAAGAATAATAACAGCCTAATTTCTTTCTCTAATTTATTAAATTTTTCTGCTCTACATAAATGAAAAGACATGTCTCTATATAAATATTTATAAATTTCTTAGTTTCTAACTACAGCTTGACACTGTATGGCATTTCAATTCTAATAACATTTGTGCTTTGGAAAGAAATGAATAGAAATTATCTCCCTCATGGATTATATGAATCCATGATGAAGATAAAAGAGGGTACTATTCCGTTTTAGGGACCGTAAAACACTGCAGTGAAAATATATGCGCAAAAGCACAAAATCTTGCAAATGCGTCCATTTAAGCGGCGCCAAATCTAGCGAACGTGCCGAAGTGCATAAATTTAGATAGTTCTATACAGTCACATAGGACTTTGGTGATTCTGGATTATCGGTTTTTCCGGATTATAGACCATAAATTTAAATCTGATAAGATGGCACGCGGAAATTATAAAATTAAAAATATGAAACCGTAATTCATGAAATAAAGAGCAATTATGATCTAAAGCGGATAAAAATTTACAAAATAATAATAATAATAATAATAATATTTGTTTGTTTACTTTATTAAACATTTCTTTCAATGTGCGCATGCATAAAGCATACATTAGGCATAGTCGAAATTAGGAAATTGCAACCAGAAAACTATTTGATGTGTATTCGTGATATTTATAATGACGAGGAATTTGATTTAAATCATATCCAAGACGGAGTACATCGAGATGAAATACCACATTTAGTAAGGAATTATAAGCGGAATAAAATAAAAACATCTGCCTTGAAGATAAGAATAGTGCCGACAGATCAACTTCCAGTTAATTGCGCGCCATAACGTTCCCCCAAACTAAAGTTGAACTACAATACATCTATAGACTGTAACAGTTACATGCGCGAGGTGTGTGCCGCAACTTTATTTACTTGGCCTAACTTGAAAATCGGTAGATGGGGCAAAATTATTGAAGTAGACGAAAGCCTTTTCAGTAGAAGAAAGGATAACGTTGAACGGGTTCTTCCGCCACAATGTGTTTTCGGTGGGTTATGCAGAGAATCAAATGACTGTTTCTTCTTAATTGCTGTTCCAGAATGATCGGTGAAACCTTTATTGAACATCATAAAAGAAAATATCGCAGAAGAAAGCATTATTTATACTGACTGCTGGAAATTATACAACTCAGATGAACTGCAAAATGAGGGGTTTGAACATTTTACTGTCAATTACAACTATAATTTTGTAGACTTTGAAAGTGAGAGTCGTAGACAAACAGTAGAGTGGCTGTGGGGCAGTGCTTAATGGCATAATAAAAGTTGCACTGCTCGACAGCATTTCGATTATTACTTGTCTGAGTTTATGTACAGACGCTAGCACAAAAAACTGCTATGTTGGAACACATAAAAAAATTTATCTCTCCCGTTTAATTTCAGTTTGTGTTTAGCTTTTTGTTTATAAATCATAATAACAAAAAATTTATTTACATGAAATTAACCTTTCATCTAAACTAAAACAACAATCTTAGATAGTTATTAACTATTATGTTTCCTTTCTTGCGTTAGGGTTACCGTAATTATTTTTGGCAGCTTTGGCATAGCAGTAGTTTGGCAATTTTTATGGTCCTTATAACAGAATTGTACCAAGAACAGTAACTTTAAAATGTTTTTCATTAATCTAATGGCCTCACAGGATGAATTTAAGGATTAGTAATTTTCCATTTTAAAATTGCAAAAATCCCGAATAAAAGTCTGAAAACTATAAAAATGTTTCAATCCATGATATCCACAAAGTTTATTATATTAATTGTTTATACATTTAAAAGTTGCTATAGTCATACAAAATAACATTAAGTCTAAAGGAAATTGACGAGACCAAAATGTTCATCTGCCATACGCCAGTTTCAGTATTGCAGGATGTGACTTTATAAATAGTGAAGAAAAAATTAAAACAGCCTTCAAAATAGAATTCACATATTTTCTTTGAATAGGAAGCATAAACAGATACAACAACTTTAAAAAAAAAAAAAAAGTAAAATCCAAGATGAGAAATTGATGATGTTGGAAAACTGAGCAAATTTTTATTTATTAATAATTATCCTGACATTATTCTCCAAAATATAAAAGAATAGTTTACTGAGCAACTTTTTATTTATTAACAATCAGTCTGACATTATTCTACAAAATATAAAATAATTTTCTACCCTTGTTAATAATACAATCAAATTACAGTTATTAGATTTAAGCATCATCAAAAATATGACAGAATATTATAAGAAGTTCTTAGTCTAGGTACGCATTGATAAGAACAAAAGCAACAGGGGGAAAATGAAGCTATGAATTCCAGAGTCATGGTTTCACAAAATGTATTGCTTGAAACTATTAGAAAGAGGTTTTGCCCATTCAAAATTTTTTCAAATCCAAAATTTCAGCTTAGAACGATGATTACCAACTTATGATTTTCTTACTAGTCACCGTTAAATATTATGATGATACTACATTTGGTTAATGTGCAGACTTTTTGTATTCTAACGTTAATAGCATTTAGTGCAAACAAAACAGTAAAAGAGAGAAAAGAATCAGGTAGCAGTGAGAAGAAATAAGATATTATTTTAAATGCACTAAAATCCAGTTTTTGAGATTCATTTCCAACTTTTACCATTGCAAAAAGTACTAACTGGGTAATTTAATGGAAACATATAAATGAGGTTATTGGTATAATTTTTCTATAATGGAAGCCAGAAAATCTTGCCAAACTAAGATATGCAGTTTATACACCATAAGTCTATTTGTACATTAAACATTGCCCTTTTTATTACCCAATACAGACCACCCATGATTTGCATGTTTTTCAAGTGACTGTTTCTTTATAAAAAGTATATCTCAACACAGAGTGTGCAAACTGAATGATGGAAGAAAATAAATTTGCTGACTGCAGACCACTTAAATTATTGTTAAAGATACATGACGTCATGCATATCTTAGTGAATGCAGATTGCATTAGCTTCTTGTTTGGTCTAATTGCCTAAAGTTATTTCAATATTATGTAGAAGTATATATACTGAATAATACGAAATAAATTAATTAATGCATAAAATCTACTGTTCTTACTTGCACAAAAAATTAAATATGCTCCAAGTGTAATAAAATGCTCAAATAAATGTGTACCCAAAGGGTAAAATACCCACTTGCAAGTCACAGTATAACCCCCAAATTCAAAGAGAATGACGAAGGCCATCCTTCTATTTGATTCTGTTAACCTAAAAGACAATTCCAAAAACTGCTGGCTTTCAAACACATTATGCCTCATAGAAAAAGGCTACAAAACTGAAAAAAATCTGTTGTGTATACATGTTCCTTGTATGGAATATTAAATTATATGCATTTTTTCTTGCATTTCATTTAAGTTTTATTGGATTGAATTAAATCTGCTTCGTCCATAGCACATAAACCACAACAGAATAAATGCACTCTTTAAAGTTCACTATATTTGTTTACCATAACGACACTATGGCGCTAGGTTCACTTACCACATTATATTTAGTTCATATTATAACTCAGAGTGCACAAAATTTATATCTTTTGAAGAATTATCTAATCGTTGCCACATGTTCTATTCAAATACTACAATAAATCTAGAATGATGTATAAAAGAAATTAAGCAAAGAAAACAGAAAAGAAACAGTTTTTCAGAGACGATTCAGTATTTCCCATTCAATTAATTCAGTTCTCACTTCGCGACAAGGCAAAAATACATAAAAACTCAAAATATCTATATTAATTTTGAAGTAAATCTTAAACACTTATTTTTCTCGAAAAATTCCAGAAAGGATTAAGCATAATTTAATTCGCAATAATAAATGAAGGCATTATCTTTGTTGTTGCGAAGCTTAGTCCCTCTAGATTGGCAACAAATCTACTATTCTGCTGTTTCAAATGTAAACAAATATGTCCGCCCTGTTATTTAAAAATTAGGCTTAACAGCACTTACAGCTTTCAAATTGTTGATAATTCTATAAATATTGCTTGCAGATTTCCTAAAGGCATAAAAACTTTAACTGGAAAATAAGAACAACATAATTCAATCATCTTTAAAGTACAAAATGCACAATTTAGAAATATATAAGAGTAAAGAAACTGAGATCAATGAGCTAGGTAACTTACTGGATGCATATATACATATATTTATATACGTTTGGTGCGGCCGATTGCAACCAAAATACGAGGTGCACATCTACATGTTATAGCAGTCCTATATACAAAATTTAGACATTCTGAGGATATTCGTTTTTGAGTTATGCGAGATACATACATACGTACAGACACCACGAAAAATTCTCTTCACAATTTATTTTAAAGCAGTTTTATAATTTTCTTGGAGGAAAAGAGTCTGTTATTCTGTCCTTATGTACAGATGTTATGCAAAAACATCGTAAAATTGCATTTGATAGCGGTCGAAATGGATATTTTCTTTGAAATATGCTGTCTGAAACTTTTCACGATTACAATACTTCCTTTTTACTTCGTACAAGGAAGTAAAAACATGAGCCACTCTTTTTTTGAAGTCTCAATAGATCATGGCAAATGAATATTCTTTTCTGCTTCATATCAGATGTCAACTGTCGAGGTATGCACAACACATTTTATAATAAGCCAAGTTTTTCATCAGCTTTTGTACTGCATTGTGACCATAGCCCATTTGTACAAAAAATTCATGGACATTCCACTGATTCAGACCGGTCATCCATTGAAGATGATGGCTTCCCATTGCAAGTTCAGCTTCTTTTTTCATCTGTGTCAGGGTTTCTAAACCAGAAGATAATTTCCTCCGGGGAAAAAATTTAAGAGCTTTAGGGGAAAAGTAGTCAGCCTTTATTTACCTGTTAAGTATTTATCTTCAGTTTATGAATATAAAAAACTGCTTTGATTTAAGTTTTGGTATTTTTCAATATGCTCTGTATTTTTTCCTTGTTTAATTTATAAAACACATAAAAAATAAAAGTATGCTAGCTTTAAATTGATTTACCCGAGTTAAAAACCATCATCATTAGCATCTGGTATTTTTAAGTAGTTTTCAACCTCTTTTGCCCTACAGATCCCTTTTGCTGTTGCTTGATGATCATTCTCCCCTTCTTTTTCCAAACTTGAAAAATACATATACATTTATTTAAATTTAGATTATTTTGTATTGTGTTTTATAAATTACACAAGGAAAAGTACAGAAAATATTCATAAATTCCAAAACTTGAAGTAATTTCTTATATACATAAACTGAAACTAAATAACAGATAAAGAAAGATTTTGGCCCCTTGAAATTCATTTGCCTTGAAGGTATGAAATTCCATCCAGGGGGAAATTTTTCCCTGGTTGATTACCCCTACATTACAGGAATCTGATTGGAAAACACTCCCCCCATTTCACAGGCTTGGCAAGCTTTTCAAACCTCATGGCATGAACATTGCAGGATTTTTTTTTTTTTTTTTTTTAAATTTTGGCTTTCGAATTTTGTGTTAAATTTTCAAGAAAAAAACACTCTTGGTTTATACACATAGATCTGCTTATATTCAGAAATATACAATACTTACCTTTTGCTTATTGTGAACAATTAAATAGCCGGCCATCAGTATTAGGACAATTGATAAGAAATAGAAGAAGAAATGACTGTCTTCTTGATCTGGGAGAGATGAGATCATTGGAATATCATCTGGCATCCCATGACTCATGGAGTTTCTTGAAGGAAAGTTGTCAAAAGCTTTATCAAGACTACTTCTATCCACTGTAACTTCATTTTTAATAATTACTGGACTAGGTGCTTTAGAATCAAGTTCTTTGTGTTTTACAGGCTGCTCTAAGGCACCATCTAAACATAAATAATAAAACAATCTATTTGTTAAAATTTGATTCCTATATACATTGCCAAATCATAAAAATTTAAATCAATAATCATATTGATATCGATGCTATAATTATTATACCTTTGCTGATGATTTCTTTTTAGATAGAATGTTTAATTAATATCATTTTTTGCCACTAGATCTAGCCCCTATGTCTGTTATGGTGACATTTCTAGAGACTGGAGAATGTTGTGTTTCATTTGGTTGCAGTATTTTTTAGTTTTGATATTTTGTTTTGGAATGAAAGTGGAAATCATGGATTGAATAATGTAAATACACAGTGCTGGCTATCAGCTGTATCCAGATGATATAAACTCATAGGAATGTTCTCCATGCTTCTGAACACTTTTATTTTTGGCAATATGGGATATATGTCCTATTACTTTAGAGGTTTTTTTCATTCCTCTTAAGAGTTTTGTTAGTGCTTCGGGAAGAATTTTTTTATTATTTAGCAAAACACTTTTTAAACTTCAAATGGCAGGAAAAATATAAAGTTTCCGAATTAATTCTGACAACTACCTGAGTGTTCCTCTCATAATGTGCCAAAAACTGGAACAATTGAACCACAAATTAAATTTATGCACATTTTCCCCCAGAGTTAGGCTTAGCAGTGCAAACTGCTCGTCTCAGCAAGGTGGCTGAGGTAATGACTGAGGTTCCTGGTGCATTTATTGTTACTATTTAACCTTTTTAGATAAAAATGTCAATAATTTTAGAACTTATGATTATTGATGATTTTCAACAATTTTTAAACTGAATGTGAATATTATATATTCAAGTTTTCATTTTCAAACAGTGCAAAAATAATGTTTTTTGTTATTGTTTCACTCAATTAATACAGCATTTAATATTCAAAAGCTATTAAAATTATGGCATTTTGCCTGGCGACATTAAACTTTCTTGCTTCCAAACGACTTAATGACTTATAGTCAGTATGTATGAAATGTCAAACACACATACTGACTATATTTTATGATCGAAAATGTATTATTACAAATCAGCAGCAAGATTTAACATTCATAGCACATACAGATATTACAATGAGTATTATGTGATGGCAAATTTATTATACACTACAAAATGTGCATGGCAATAATAAAAATAAAAGAATAAAGGGTAGGGGGCAAGAAAAGAAAATTAAAATCACCTGGTATCTTTTAGAATAAAGAATTAAAAAACTGCAAAGCAAGTCTACTGAAAAACATTCAAATTCTACAGATTTTTTTGCAAAAACTTTATAAAAATACATAACAGTAAAAACTTAAGCTTTCAGTATATATATTATTCTTATTATAATAAGCTATACCAATAATTAATATACAAAGTTCCTTTTGAACAAATTATGGAAGCTTTTTAATAAATTAAATATTCATAAAGCTTTTTGCATTTCTAATTAAAAAAGCTCACATTTTTTACAAAATGCTAAATAATTTCATACTTTCTAATGAAGCTAAGGATAAAACATGTTTTTTCATTAACAACTTTGGAGTATTTTTTCATTCATTTAGATTTCTTCACAGGTTTTGCTAATTATGAAAATTTTTGAATCGGTGCAAAGGCTGTTTAATTACAAGACTTTTATACTGCAAATGACTATGAATAAAGTTATCAGAAAGTATATCTATACATGTTAACTAAATACTGACATCAAATGTAATGGATAAATTTCTTTACACCTTGAAACTTTAAAAAGTTTTACTTTTCAGAATTTTTTTCTAAACAATCCTTGACAAGTTTTTGGAAAAATGTATTTCTTATTAAAAACACTTATTTTTCTTGATGTAAATGATTTTTCACATTTCAATATTTAATACAAGAATAATTATTTATAGCTATAATTTGATAAGCTTCTAAGAGCTATTATGCAGAAGGTTTGCATATCTAGCAGCAGCATGCAATAAGATAGAGTATGAACGTTAAGATACATATACCTACCATAATCTGACTTTGAATATTCCCCCTCAACATCCCCCTCATTGTTTTCCATATCTGATAAAAATAAATATTATGCTTACTTTGTAGAAATAGTAAACATTTAAAAAGTGCAAAAATAAGAACAAGCTGCAGAATGTACACATATTAAGATCGAGAAAAGAATTAAAAGCAACATTACAATGAAGATGCTCAGGTATTTCATATTACATTGTCAATACACAAAAAGCTGCCATATTTCTGAATGTATTTGTAATCTCGATTCGAAAATCAGGCTTCTTAGCTACAGTTATAAGCTTTCATTTAGTTAATTCATAGCATTTCATTATGGTTGGAATTTTGTCATCGATTTTTAACTTACTTCCTGATAAACTATCGAGTTCAAATTTTGTACACACAACAATGCAGTGTTGTGAAGGGATTTTTTTCAAAATTCAATTTAGGCTTTTTTTATTTGATATTTAAACAAATTTTAAACATATTGTTACAAAAAAAAGGTGATTAAAGATTTTAAATTACGTCCAAAGGGGCATTTTTTAAACATTTTGTGTGTTGCCTTTATTCATTAAATATCATGTTCTTTGCAATTAAACCATAAAATTCAGTTCAATAGCAATGTCGCAAAATAATTTTAAAATGAGCATGTCTTTAGAATTTCCGATACACAGCTCCGCGTGGTGGAGACGAAAAGGTTGTCCCCCCTGTAGAGTGTTGCCATCGCTCACTTTGAAATCCTCGAGTTTGTTAATCAAAAATTCGTTAAAGTTTTACAAAATATGAAATCAATAATAAAACAAATTTCAAATTTGGTCTTCCACATGCCCACATTCGTAGGAGGATTACATAATTCAAAATTCGATGGCTCTATGTACTGTTGTTTTGTTACAATGTGAGAAATATACATACATTTATGCAGATTTCTCATTATTTAATTTCTACAAATATAATGCAGGACTCTAAAACTTGGTGGCAACAGTTTGAAAAGTGAAACAGACATTTATAGTGATTCAACACAAAATCGCAAAACGAAAACAATAGCCCTTCAGGGACAAAGTCCCTTTGGACTAAAAATGTACAGGTGCAGTACGATAGCTTCCCCGCAGAGCAGGTTTAGGGTTGCCACATTTGGCAACAAAATTGGCAATATGCCATGGACAAATGGAGAACCTTCTGGAATGAATTCTTACTGGTTTAGCCCAAAATGTTCTTGAACACAAGCCAAAAATTATATAAACCCTGCTGGTATGCGGAGAGTCAGTACGAGATAGTTAGTCTCTAGTTAGTCAGTCCGTGCAGAGTCGATCAAGTTGACAGCTGGGTACTGAGTGCCGAGTGCATCGAAAGAGTCTCTTAATGTATCACAGTTAGTGCATCGCCGAGAGAGTGTTTTGAGCTCCGGGAACAACTGAACCGAAGAGTTGGTAGCTGTGCTCTGTGTGTAGTCGAGTGCATTGCGTGTTGTAACGTGGAGAGTCTCGAGACTACAAGGAGTTCCGAAAATGACCAAAGAGAGTCGGGAGCTGTACTCTGGTGTTTTGCAGTGAAGCTGTCTCTACCATTATTGCCCGATAGCCTGAAGGCTGTGTCGCTGATTGTTCCAGCAAATGTATAGCAGATCTTCGATGACTGTAAAACATGATTTTGGAGCTGTCCTGATTAATACTGGCTAAATAAAGTGTGTTTGGATACTTCATCAAGTGTCATCGTTATTCACTCCAAATCTATGAACCCTGTAAGAACGCGAATGAAGAAAATAACGCAACAATATTTTCGTTTAATGAACATATTAAACATGTAAGAAATTTACTGTTAGCACTATCAAATACAGCATGAAAAAAGTTTAAACTTTTAACGAAATCAATTAATTGAATTGCACTGCCAAATGTTTATGTTATTATCTTTTTAAATTTATCGTAGGTGCAATAGTTCAGCAGTGATTCTCAACATCTTCTGCCCCATGCACCCCTTTCATTATTGCTAAATGTTTATTCCCTTCTCTTTTTCAAAACACAAAAAAATACTAAATTATTATCTAAATTTAGCCTTTATCTAAATTTAGATCATGTTTTAATGTGCTTTATAAATTAGACATGAAAATGCACAGAAAATGTTGATAAATACCAAAAACTTAAAATAAAAACATATTTTTACATTCATAAACTAAAATTAATTTCTTAAAAGCAAACAAAAGGCTGACTGCACCCCCCGTAAACTATGAAATCCTGCCCAAGGGAGGAATTCCACCCTGGTTGAGAACCTTTTATTTTAGTGTATCAAATATAATTTCTATTTTAAATAAAAGCTTTATATGTAAAAACTTTTTATTTTATTTTATTTATTTATTTTAGATACAGCATAGCCTCATATTATATTGATAGAAGTGAATGCACGGTTGAAAATCGGTTTTCTCTAAAGCTTACAGACATTGACAACCTACACAATTGCAAATCTGCAGATAATCTTTGCCTCCCAAAAAATTTAACTTTCAACAGTCTGCCCTGCCATTCATCAGAAATTCAACTGATAGCATAAACTGAAGATAACACATACCTATACTATACACATTACTTAAATATCTTTTGTATCAGAGAAAGCTATCTTGGTAATGATTTTAAAAATATCAGTTATGTCTCAGATGCTGCCACTAGAAAAAATATTTTTAAATACGAAAATGAATAAAAATAATTAAAAATACACAAATGAAAATGAATAAAAATAATTAAGAATACACAAATGAAAATGAATAACAAATGAAAATGAAAAATTAATAACAACCTATAAAAAATTTAATTACTTCAGTTTTATGAAACAAAAGCACGACAAGTTTTTAACCCTCCCATTGCTGAATTTTTTTCAAATCTGCAAACATTTGAGTGTTAAAATACATCGCACAATTCTATATCCAGGATTTTCTTAATATAAATTTCGCACATAAAAACAGGCTTTCATAAAAATCAGTTTTAAGAGTAATTGTATAAAGATGAAAACTTTGAAAATAATTCTTGATTAAACTCTGATTTTTAATGCTGTCTGCTAGGTTCTTTTTTAATGGTATTAAGAGGAATGTGGGTTGCAAAACGATGAGCTGCCAAATAGTTGAGAGTACGATTAAACCTTTCCTGCATGCTACTTTTTAAAGTCGGAGTTTGATTTAAAAAAAAAAAGAAAAAAAGACAAAAAAGTAGGCCTCTATTAGGCCTCGAGAGTACACACGTAAAATTTGTGAAGTAACACTTTTCGTTTTAATTATGTGGGTGTGCCCAAAGTGGCACACTGACTGAATAGAGCTTCGAAAAGCGTGCTGAACGAGCATTGTTGTCAATAACTGACTGATGACATGCGGAGAAAAAGAATACAGACTCTCAGTTGTCTATTAATCGGTGGCCTGGTTGGGCAACCTAAGGTTCGCCATTTATTTTAGGCAAGATTTCGTAAAATTTTAAAATAATATAGAATAGGATATAGCCTAAGCAAAAAAATAACAGAGAAATTTCTTTTAAACAATTCCTTTTATACCCTAAAAAAAACTGGAAGATTTCTTTGAAAAATGAGGGTCTTAAAAAACTAAACATGGCTAAAATATATAGACTGGTTTGTGTTGAGCTGCCATCTTCTATAAATAAAGAATGTTCAGAGTAACTTACAAATCCTTCTTCTTTCAATTTTTCTGTGCATACAGAAGGAAATTTTTAGGTGTGTCCAATCCGATAAAGTTCTTCTAGGTGAACCACATGTTCTCAAGTTCGAAATATTTCAAAACAGTTGCATTATTCGCCATATTTACAATTATACCCAGACTGTCATGGAATATTTATCACATCTATTTTGCACCACTGCCGAACATTTTGGATGGTCATCGAATTGTTTTCGGATTCACAACTGTCTGGGGACGAGTCAGAGAGATAACAATTCACTTTGCTATTGCAAGCTTCACATTTGGTATCATAAAATATCATGAGGAACATACATTCTATCAGCTGCTGAACATTTCCTGGCAGCCATACTCTGAATATAAAAGATAAAAATAATAACGGCGGTAATGCCACAAAAGCAGTCGAACTCTATGCAAATATGAAAATTTATGCAATGATGATGCCATCCATCAGTAGATCACATACTACATAATTACGAAATGATTAATTAAAAGCTTCATTTAAAAAATAAATTGAGAGGGGTGGCAAGCAGATTGCCTCGGAAGGCAAAATCTTCGACTAAAGCAGCCATTGACCTACATAGTATTTTGTAGGTTATTTAGCCAAAAATCAGGCTAATAATATACAAAGCGAGAAGCCTAAAATCGGGGAATTTGTAACAGATAAGTAAATCTTGGAATAAGTATGTTTTTATCATAAAGTGCATTTCAAAATGAATTAGAAATGACTGATTCTTTTTTTTTAACATTGATTTAAAACACGGCTGCAAAATCTCTGCACTCTCTAAAATAAAGAATTTATCATGGTCTAGTAATACAAACCAGATTTCAACACTGCTGGCATAAAATATAAAAATGATAAAATATAGTAAAAAAAATGTTTCAAAACTTATGATAAGTCAAGTTTAGCATAATGACATACTCATTTTTACTGCTTTAATAGAAACCTATACAGAATGATGCATAGCAATAAGGAACACCGATAAGGGATTAACTAAATACTAAAATTCTTTGCTGATTTCATGTCTTAAATAGAACAGATGATATTAAGGCAAGCCCACTTATATATATATTTAAAATCTCGCACACTTCTTCCAATGTTCCAGTTCATATTTACTCATAACATAACATTTTTAAGATGCAATGTCTTGCAGGGCTTGCCATGATACTCCTGCTTTTTCCATACACATAGTCTTATCAATTCACTATGTTATTAAAAGACAATACAGGAAAAACACACACACACACACACAAACAGGTGAAGCGACATTTTCCCCAGGACTCAATATGAAGATTAAACTATAGCAATCATGTAATTATTTTTATCACAATGAAATGTTTTTGCAAATGAAAAAAAGCAAGTAATTTCATCATACAGACACCACTCAATGTAATCGTTTAAATA